TCAGGGAAGAAGTGGCTGTATGGTTTCTTACTTGTATTGTTGGCATCATATGTAAAGATTGGACATTTTCACCACCACCATCTATGGAATAAAAATAAGAGGACTAGTTCAACTTTCGTAATGTTTATTGCCTTTATGAGAGCAACATTCCCACGTCCTTCGTATGGACGTTTATAATATCTCAATTAGTGAGGAAATTGGTGTGAATATGCATCACCAATGATGAATTTATTAAACAGAATTATGATTTGGATTACTACAAGATGCATAAAACAAGGTTTTCCATATAAAAGTTGGTTGGCAGTTTCAAAAAGTTTTATGTGAAGATATTATTAAGATCTAATGGATAGAATAACAACGTCGGCCGGAAGAGATTGTTTTGAAGCATAATATGTGGCCCTGTAAATTGGACGAACATCCTTGTTTGTTTTTTGTATGTTTTTTGTATTTTTAGCAACTGCTGGCACTCCTGGCTAAAGTTTATGCAAACTTCCACCACCGCAGACAGAATGTCGTACTGCATAACGGTTTTCGGTCCTCTACGTGTGTCTCAGGGCAAGTCTAAAAAGAAAAGTTGGCACTACCCACAGCCACTTGAAGGCAAGAAGAAAGGTGCGGCATAGTAGCCTAGGAGCAGCTGCTGTAACACATGGGCATAGTTGCATAAACACGGCCGTAAACCTGTGAAGCCCCCCATTTCCGCCCACCTGGCAAATCGAAGGCTTATATCAACAAATGGTCAGAGCTCTTCGTGTGTTTGTAGCCAAAATGCTGTTCGTTGGGAGCCTGTAACTGTAACTAACGTCCATACATTCCTGGTTACAAGGGCCAAAGTGAGGAAATTCTCCCTTAAATTTATTGCTTTGCTTATTCACGCGTGGCAGGCCTGCAGTGCCAGGTTACAGGAATTGGGCTGATAATGTAATATCACTGCTTGTTGGTGAATGCTTTCGTGGTCTCCTACATCCCCTGTAGAATTCTTCTATTCCTCGCAGATTAGTCTTCTGTTCACCCATCCTTCAATACTGCCACAGGCTGTGTTTCAACAATATTCGGTGTAGACCTGTTAATTCGCTTGAATATGTTGTCTAAACCTGTATCTATAACCCTTCCGGCCCTCGTAGCGAGAGTCGCTACAAGGCAGAAGTGAGAAAACATCTGTGTTATGAAGAAGCATGAGGGACACCACGGACCTTCAAACACACACAAAGACAGAAGAAGAGGTGCGCGATGTGATAGTGATGGGGAGAGGTTCTCAACTCCGAGTGTAATATTGAGAAGTAAGAACTCTTGCGTATAATAACAAGAACTAGTTCTTGATTGCGAACACACCAAATCTCCGCGCTTGTGTTCCTTGTTTTAGAGACTGCTGTCAAACTAGGCATGTGTGCAGGGTGTCCTTAGAGAGGAGTTCCGAGCTGCACCCTATCTATCCCTATTAATTATCCATACGTTAGCGGCGATAGCGATTAATGTGATCCGTAAAAGATAGCTCCAGTGTAAAAGCCTCCCGTGCGTTGTATATATATGAAAATACTCTCTCCATTCACTTCACAGCGATACGTAATGAACTGACCTACACACACCCCCGTACACGCTTTGCAAGCAAAGATTGCTCCGAGTTTTTAGTTGTGCGCTGCGGACTTTGATCTTGGGATGGCTTATCTGACAGATTATTAATGTCTTTGGTGAACCCCTGTAGTTGATACCTGTGAACCCACACATCCAATGTCCCAGCGACGCTTTTCTAACTATTAAAATTTCCAACTATCGCATAACCATCGGTTACTGAGCGACACACATCACATTCACGCTTACTATTTTCCAACCTAATAAACCAAGAAATTATCCATAGCACAGATGCTGATCATTCTTTTTATATTACGAACCGCCCTAGTGATGTACCTCCACGATACTCGTGTGTTTCAGCAAGGGTCTGCTTTGTAAATGCTGGCCTTAAAGGCTTTCCGCTCCTCCCCATTCGATTCATTGCTTGCGCCGACGCCCCTTGTTGCCATCGGACGATCTCCCAGCTGCGCTCCTCCAACCTCCCTCGGTTTTATAGCCTCTATTCAGTCCCAGTAACACCACCTAATTCCCATGGGGCTAACTGGTGGTAAGGGTTAAGGTAGTGTGTGTCGCTCCGCCTTCTCCTGCCTTCTCTCAGAGATTCCATGATTTTCTCTCCCTTCTGCTCCCTCGGGGTAGAGATTTTGGAGGTGATGGTAGTATAAATAGCTGTCGACAGAGCGTCGGGCAACCCTGATTCACCCGGTATGTGTTTCATGTCTGGAGAGGAATGAAAGGTCTGAATACGTCTGTTTCCCACTCCTCAAACTTCTTCGTCCCTCCCTCATTCCTCTGTGGGGAAAGGTTAAAAATTCCACACACCAAGTATATAATAAAACACCTCGGAAAGTTAGTTGAATCCATAGGAATTCTCTGTTATGTGGCTATGTTGATTGAGGATTAAAATGATAAAAGACTCTGAGGACAGCGCACCTTCTTTACTAGAGAGCGGGATGGCCAGTATAAACGGAAGAACCTATTCAGAATAAAGGAACAGCTCTGTCCAGAGTACATAGTTGTAATGTTTATTAGTCTGTAGGCCATCTAATCCACAGCGCGTCCTGTAACTTTGACCTGCGTACACCTGATACCATACGTATTACCATACTATGTGTTCTGTCTGAGACGCGATCTCCGCTTTAAATAATTGATTTCTTTACCACCACGCAATAAAGCTTAACACATGCTGGCTCACACATAAGCGGACATTATACGCCCTTTACAGAGGACAATAATTCAAGCAACGCTTATCATGGCATAGCATCGACCTCACAGCCAACCAAATCCCCCATAGCACGCCTTTAATGATTCTTAATAAGTGACAGCACTGAATTCTGCAAAACCCCTGAACCAAAGCTCTCCCCATACATTTCCTATCTTATTGTCGCGGACAACTAATCCGGTTCGCACGTAGCGGACTCTTATAATGTAGAATTGCTCGCAAAACCAAGTCGCACGAAAGCCAAGCTTAGAAGGTACTTGTAGCGCTAACAAGCGATATACACCCTCATGCCAATAATTTTAGGCAATGGTTGCGGTGTGTCTGCATTGCTTGCGGAACTCATCAAAGACTCCCTGTCGACTTTCGAGGCCTAAAGTTAGTAGAAGAGGTTTTCTGCATGCACCCGAGAATTCAACTCCCTTAAATAGGGTCTAAAGCTCTATAATCTGAAGCTCTGTCTAAGAATTACATATCATTTCAGGTGATAGTGATATCATGGTTGTGGTTGTGATCTTGAAGTTCCCTAAAGAACCAGAAGAAGAGGCTATAGATAAGTAAGCAAGGATAAGTGTGCCGACTCTTATTGCTCACATAAGCTTGATTAATTTTTTAATGTAGGATCTGAATGAGGAGAGAGTTTGACAGTTGTGTCCCATGTTCTTCAAGTAATTTGAGTAACAAGCTGAACTTGTGTTCAGTAAATTCCTTAATGAGTGTGTCTTGTGAATAATAAAAACAAACTTGCATATACTAACCTTAGAACTTGTTCTAATTCTGTAATACTAGAGGTGGAACCTGTATCTTATCCACATTACGCCAATGGGACAGAAAAAAGTGTCCATAATAGTGAGGTGTCCTTATTCATAGGTTACATTGCATGCAAGACACAGTTCTTGGGAAAAGAAAAGGTGTCCCTTATTAGTGAGGTGTCCTCATTTCAGGGGTAAATTGCATGCAAGAACAGTTCTTGGGAAAAGAAAAGGTGTCCTTATAGTGAGGTGTCCTCCTGTTCAGGGGTAAATTGCATGCAAGAACAGTTCTTGGGGAAATAAAAGGTGTCCTTATTAGAGAGGTGTCCTCATTTCAGGGGTGTCCTTAGAGAGGGTTCTACTATTTGAGATACGTACTACAGGAGATTGTCCTGAAGTTGATTAAAACCTTAGCAAACCATGGAAAATTATATGCCCAGAGCCTCCATAAGTCCATAAGAATTATATATGGTATAATTACTAGGCATTAATATGTCAATTCTGCTTATTTAAGGAGATACCATGGGTCCAAAGGTAATCCGTACCTTGCAAAATCATCAGGTGATATTGTGAAAGATTTGTGGTCGGCATTCGATATAAACAGAACAGCACTTTCCTGTAAACAACAACAACAAACGTGAACAGAAAACAAAACAAACTCGGTAATTACCCAAGGAAACGTGAAACCTTTAACACTTAACCAGCCACGGACACATAAATGTGTCCAGAGCCTCCATAAGTACATGAGAATTTATATGGGGGTTATAATACTAGGCGCTAATACTTTATACATCAATTTCTGCTTATTTAAGTAGATACCCATGGCGTCCAAAGAAAACAAGAAACTGAGAATTTCATCACTAATTTACATAATGTCCCCTAACAAAGTCACCTATTATGGGTATCACGTAACATTAGCCGCTCAGTGTATTATGAATTCTCGGAACTCTTATCGTCAGGGTTACCTCTGTTCTTGGAAACGCAAAGTGTACTACAAAAACTTTACCTCCGCTTTAGCCAAAAAGGCAATTTGGCCATGTGTCGTAACCATGGTATCGTCACTATAGAAACTATACAGCAATCAACTTTGAGGTCTGAAGCTCATAATGACATACTTTTTTGTTGGTTGTCCGGAGTGACGGGGAAAAATGTGGGTGGCTTAAACTTTTCGTACTTTTAGCGAGTAAGTGAGGGGAAGGACAGGCTAACCAACCATCCCGAATACTTTGACTACAGCTAGAGTGTGCAGTGCAAGTACCTGTGGGAAAAGGTGGCCTACATTTTTCGTACTTTTAACGAGCAAGTGATGGGAAGGACAGGCCAACCAACCATCATGAATACCTTGACTAGTGCAGTGCAAGTAATCCCTGGTATATATACCTGTGGGAAAAGGTGGCCTAAACATTTTGTACTTTTAGCGTGGAAGTGATGGGAAGGATAGGCTAACCAACCATCATGAATACCTTGACTAGTGCAGTGCAAGTAATCCCTGGTATACCTGTGGGAAAAGGTGGCCTAAACTTTTCGTACTTTTTGCGAGCAAGTGGAGGGAAGGACAGGCTAACCAACCACCCTCAATACTTTGACTACAGCTAGAGTGTGCAGTGCAAGTAATCCCTGGTACCTGTGGGAAAAGGTGGCCTAAACTTTTCGTACTTTTTGCGAGGAAGTGAGGGGAAGGACAGGATAACCAACCATCCTCAATACTCTGACTATAGCTAGAGTGTGCAGTGCAAGTAATCCCTGGTACCTGTGGGAAAAGGTGGCCTAAACTTTTCGTACTTTTTGCGAGGAAGTGATGGGAAGGACAGGTTAACCAACCATCCCGAATACTAGCTCTGGAGAGTGCATGGCAAACATATGAAGAATTGGAGAAATACGTACATACACATACCATCTGGGTATAGTAATAAGCTGCTTCACTCCTCAACTTTGACTCACTCCTAAATCGCTGGACATACCTGAAATTGAAAGTAAAACTTTTTTTCGTGTGTAGGTAGCAAACGCAAACTTGGCAGTGATAACTCACGGATTGATGGTCTTGTATATAGGACGTTTTTTACCTCGTAAGGTACATGCAGTACATGTTGTAAGTACATGTTGTAGCTTTCATGTTAACGCTATTACCGTATGGGATACAATTACATCATACACGGAGAATCTGATTGGTCACCTCAGATTCGAATACATGTGTTTCGGAGACAACAGAATGAGAGTGTAGATGATGTAAGGCAAGAGTTCGTCTGCACCTAAATAGAGACCGTGATACTATTTTTAGAATTGCAAACCAATGTCGTAATGCTTATTACCTGTTCCCTCATCGGCTCCATAGTGCTTCAATAGATCTTATCAAAAAGTTAAAGAAAAAACAATTTTCAAGACGACACAAGTACTTGTCCTGAATACACGAAAGATGCACACTTAAAAAGATGATGGCTAAATATAGAAGCACAAAGAAATTTCGAAATTCGGGAGTGAGATGTTAAATTAGAGAAGGATACTCGAGAGAATCGATATGGAGTTAAGAATGCACACAAGTTTCTCCCACGGCGACGAAAACTTGCTGGAATCCAGTTTAGCAAGTTCTACAGAAACGAAACAACCATGTTCATAGAGGTGGGTTTCCGTGGCAACAGACCACACCCACCCACCTTCGGCGGCAAGATGGAAGGCGACTTTGTTGAGGGGACGACTTGGAATGTCGAGATGGTCTGGGGTAATGAACTGGAGCCGACGAGTGCTCAGATATAGCTGGTTGTCCTGTTTAGATGAGAGAGGGAGGAGAGGTATATTGGAGGGGCGAGGGGGAGGGGAAGGAGAGGAGATATACAGAAGAAATCAGGGAGGGAGGGAAGTACAGGGAAAGGGATTACTTCCACTGCACACTCTAACTATATTCAAAGTATTCGGGATGGTTGGTTGGCCTGTCCTTCCCCCCCACATTGCTTACTAAAAGTACGAAAAGTTTAGGCCACCTACAGTGAAAGAAAAGGAGAAGGAGAGAGAGGGAGAGAAGGGAAGCGGAACAGAAAGGAAAATAAAGTATGCAAGAGGATTGGGAAGAGAGGATGGTAATAATAGAAAGATAATTGGTGCGTACTACAAATCTGACTCACATCTTCAGCATCTGTTGAGTCAAGAGGAGTGAAAACCTTATTGTACAGACGCTGCAGCAGAAACCTAATGAAACCAGAAATTAGGGCGCTGAAAGTGAAAGTGAAAAGAAAACGAACTTTTCGAGAGACTCTGAGACTTGAGCATATCCATCCTCCCCATCTTCCCTCCACAACTGATGGTCACTCAACATACCCGCCATTTCCTGGATTAACTCACGTGATGGTCACGTGACCAACTATCACGTGACGACACGGAGACCACACCCACCTCTACAAAGTCTCTCACGGTGGAAGAAGCGTCTTCTGGGTTCTGTGGCGTTGATAAGAACTCGGCAACAAATCCCTTGACCCGCTGAACATGATCAAAACAGGTTATGTGTCTCATCCGGTCCAAAAACTCCGCATTGTTCCTGTAATACTCGTCCATCTGCATTACGTCATAGCATAAAACACGATCTAAGATTACGTCATCGCATAAACAGATTGAGAAGTTGCCGCGCGCAGCCCTCCCCGTCCCGCTTTTCTTGCTCAGCGGCCTTTACTGGTCACCTGAACGAGTCCCGCGCGGAGAAATTCGACGTCTTCGCGAGCAAAATGCGTCATTCGGTTCCTCTTCTTTCCCTTTTCACGCCTCCTCAGTAAACGGCTTGCGGTCCACGCGCTCCGTATACTAGCGTAGATCAAAGGGTGATTATTTCGCCCACTCCCGTTAATCTCCGTATACTACTTATTAATATCCTGTCCAGACACGTACACTTTACCCGAAGATTGACAAAAAGGGTGGTGAGTGTTTTGTAAAACAAATCAACTTTTTTTTTGTTTCCACGTTGCAGGAAGAAGCGGATTTTCCGCGGGTGAGCGGCGTTTTGGCGACCGATGCTCGCTGCGGCGTTTTCGTAACGTTTTTCGTCGCTTCTTCACGCGGGGGTCCCGGTCAGGGTTTTTTGGGGAAGAGCGCGCGCGGGACCGGGAGATTTTTTGCTCCCCTGACAGCTGGGTTGACATGGGAGCTGACGGCGTTGAGTTTAACGGCGGCGGACGGCTGCTGAGGAAAATAGGACTTCCAAAAGATGGCCTAATTTCTCATTATCTCTCCCCCGCTGACACCGCTTTCGGGCGGGGTCATATTTAGACACTAATTAATGATGTCATTCGCGTGGGTTCCAAAAATAGAATTTTGTAGTCCAACGCTCCAACTGTTGTGTGTGGACATTATGACCTTTCTTCACTTGCACAGAGGAACATGAAAGAAGATGGCGGAAGAAGAAGAATATGAAGAATATCCACAAGATTTTCAGGTATTGATTTTCGTTTAGCAAGTTTGTATGTCAGAGCAATTTTTATAAAACTATAGTTGCGCAAAAGGCAATTAATTTTTTATACTTCAGGATCGGTTTTCTGCGTTGAAGGCACAGTGGAAGACTGCACTGAAGAAGAATAAAAAGTTGCTACTGAAGTGCCCTAATTACGACGTGAGACCTTGTATATACTTTTTACTACACACGTTTTTCTCGTTTTTACCACAATTTTGCCATCTTTGCTTTGCTCCCTCCCTGTGACCTTTGTCCCTCCTCTCCTTTCTCCCTTTCTCCCTCTCCCCTCTCTCCCTCCCTCTCTCCCTCCCTCCCTCCATCTTCTCCTCTTCTCTCTCACCGTCCTCAGAGGTGCCAGTTCAAGTGCGGCAGTGTCGGAGGCATGACCTATCATTTCGTGCGCTGCGAGGGGGTCTGCGAGCGGTTCCACTGCTCAAAGTGTTCGCGCTCGTACGAGAGCCGCACGGGTCTCAACTATCACATCTCCAGTAACTCTTGCCCTGGAGCTAAATCAGGATCGATATCCCCCACCATGGAAGAGGTATAATTATTATATATACCCTATATACCATGGAGGAGGTATATACGTATATACATGTACAGTGGAACCCCTGTAATCTGGACAATAATGAGACAAAAGAAATTAGTGAGGTGTCCTTGTTTCATTGCATGAAAGAAACTGTTCGTGGGGAAAGAATTTTTTTGTTAGAGCTGTCCTCATTTCAGGGGTGTCCTTGGGAAGAGGTTCAACTCTGAATAAGGAAGGACACCTATAGATTGTTCTTGTTTTGATCAGTGCATTCAAGTAACCTCTATATAAAGGACACTTCTCTATATTATAGAGGGTGCCTGTTTTTATTAAGTATATTCCCATTACTGATTGTTGAACCTCCGAATGAAGATAAAGATAAATTTGTTACAAGTTTGTTGTACTCTAGGAAAGTTATTCACAAATTTGCTTTCTTCCAGATGCTCCAGCCGTAACTAGGAGAAATGTACACAACACCTCAACTAAGGCTTCTCGACCAACCAAAACCACACCCACCTCCTCGACAAAGACCACACCCAACTCGTCGGCTAGAACCACGCCCGCAACTTCCCCGAACCCTCCGCCTACTTTTACGAGCATCCCCACCCTCGCTCTTTCGCCCGTCGTCGTCGTTCCTTCTCGACGACCCTACAGCAGATGGTGCGAGGAGAAGAGGAGAAGGGGAGCGACGGGAGGGAGAGGGAAAAAGCCCGGCGGTGTAAAGTTGGACCCGGCTGATCCCGAATTCAAACCGGCTCGGAGCGAGGAGGGAAGAGGAGAGACTGGAGTAGGGAGGGCTGCGATGATCACAGGATCACATGCCCCGCCCATGAACGATGCTCGTCCAGTGTCACCGATTCTGCAGACACCTGTGACCTCAGTGTGAGAGCAGTACAGCACGTGAGAGAAGAGATATAATCGAGGAAATCCGATCGCGGTGATGTAAGAGAAGAGAGAAGGGGCGTCGAGTGAGCTGGTGTGCTCGCCATTCACGATAATCACCTTCGCTTGAGTATCGCCTCAATCCGTATAAGTAGCGCGCTACCTACACTGTGGACAGGCAGAATTCAGGAAGCGGACAGTGTGTCACTGCCGCCCCAATTACGAGGTTTGCAGCTTCAATTCCAGCAAACGATTTACAAGTACTACTCGTATCATAACTACAATCGCTCCCTACGCAATTCAAAAACAACACACAAATGTCGCGTCTTCACCATATGAAACACTTTTCAGTATCACACGTCATGTAATCGGATGTTTACGGTACAAAATGCACCAGCCTGCAGATTAGTAACATAGAGCACCACAACTCTCCATATCACACCCACTCTCAGATCACAACAAACAACTCACCGCTCCTATCAAACTCCTCCCCAACTGATCTCTCTCCATGTTAAAAGGACTGCGGTTTCAAATGCACCACCGTGAACGGAATGAAATACCACTTCGTCCGCTGTTTGAAGAGCGACCCGCCGCAGTTCACCTGTGCCGTCTGCAAGAAGAAATTCCAGTGTCGCACCGGGCTGGTCTGGCACCTCAAGAAGCACCACGATGTACGCACAATGTCTACTCTTTCTTGATACACTCACCACTCTCTCTCTCTCTCTCTCTCCTCTCCTCTCCTCTCTCTCTCTCTCCTCTCCTTTCTCCCCCCCTCTCCTCTTCTCCAGCTCATTAAACATACAGCCAACCAAAGGAACAGCGTTCACAGGCACGATTCCAGTCGAGGCTTACCACACCATCGGTCGTCTCCACAGCTCCTCCTCTGACGACTCGCCGGCTCCGCCCGTTCGCCAGAAGAAACGAAGGGTGGAACCCAGTATCCCACGGGGCAGGGCGTTGCTGGGCGGAGCTGGTTGGGGAGGGGGTGAGGCCTCGAAGATTGGCGGAGACTGGGGGAGTGAGGATGGTTCGCAAGATTATGACCTGAGACGGTAAATGTAAATGAGTTGTCCCAATTAGAAATGTGCCAATCCGATCCGTTAATTGGACATTGTACATAACACATGTAGTAAACTATTCATACTTTTTCCTTTCATTCTAGATCTCGTAAACAGTACAAGCCACGCCCTACCTACTACACCTATCTACAGAACGTGTTTGACTGCCACACCCTCCCAATTCCCACCCAGACTCCGCCCACTCCACCCGAGCGGCTCCGCCCAAATGACTACGACGTTTACGACGAGGTGGAGACGGAAATCTTCGTCTACGGCAGCGGAGAGCTGTTTCTGGACGAGTCGGCTCTCGAGTACCAGAAAATGAGCGAAGATTCCGACAGCGAGACAGAGGACCAGTATATGGGTGGGTGGGGCTCTTTAATTAGTAGGCGTGGCTTATTTTTATGGTGGAGCATTTTCATCTGCGTGGTGAATGGTGCTTTTTTGGTTTCAAGAATAATGGATTCACTTACACCAGTAGTGTTTTCTTCCATCGTAGTTTTTATAGGCCGGGGAATAATTATGTGCCGCCTCTGAAACCCCTCCCCCCACCACATATTGTTTTATTGGTTAACTTGGGCCCCCCCCCTTCCCCTGGTTATTTCCCTTAAACCCCAATTCTTCCTTCCTTGGCTGCAAAATGGAGAATAATCCTGAACCACATCCGTATATACATAGCAAGCAGTTTCATACTCCGTGTTTAACAGCTACAATGTACATTATTATGACAAGATCGTTCTTCTCTTTGCCAACAGACCAGCAGGCTCTGCCTTCTCCCTCACTTCACAGCGAGTCGAGTGCCTCGGAGCAGTCCTCTGACGAAGAATACATGTGCCCCCTCACCAAGAAGAAGCCGAAACCAAAGAAGACGGTCCAGAAAGTGAAAGAGGAGAAGAGAGAGCCGGCGGCTCGGAGCGAGGAAGAGGAGATGGCGACGGGAGGAGAAACTGGTAAAACGGGTTACAAACTGGTCTCGGCGGCCGGTTACCCCCCGCAGCTGGTCAGGACCAGTCACGGTCAGTCGGCAGTACGAGACACCTCCTCCGACTTTGCCAGAAAACAGGTTTCTAAACTGGTTAGACCCGAAGCACCTCCCCTCGTCAAGACAGCCTGGCCTTCCTCAAGTCACCGTCACTACTCCTCCGGTGAAATCAAGGTCGTCCCCGGCAATGCAGTGGGCGTGGTTATGGGAGGAGCCAGCTCTAAACAGGGCGAACGACAGTTGCTCCCTAAAGTGAAACAGAAACTGGATCACATGAGTCCCATTATCAGCCTTCCCAAGATTCACCAGCCTCAGGTGATCTTGTCAGCCGGGGTCCAACGCCCCCCGCCCCCACTTGTTAGCACCAAGTCACGTGACTCTCAGGGCCACTCCCACTCTATCATATCCGCCACTGCTTCTCATTCGTTGTCATCTTCGCAGCACCACAGACACCATACGCAGACTCAAAAATCCTCCAAACGTGTTTCCATTGATCCGAGTCTTCTTGGCCCCTCGAAAAAACCCTCCCCCCACAAATCCCCGAAAACAGTTCCCCCATTTTCCCTCAGTTCCCCTGTGAAGAAATCCAAGCCGCCCCCCAACACCCAATATGGAGTGATCGCCGCAAGTCCCTCCTCGGCCCCCCACAAAATTCAGACCCCCACCACCTCGTTCTCCATGGTTCAGCTACCCAGTAACATCCCCCGAGTTATGACCCCTATCCAGTTAGTGTCCCCCAACCAAAATCAGGCACCCCACGCCCTCACTGCGACATCACAAGGCGCCTACCAGACTGCCATGGGATCAGGGGGCCTAATTTTTCTCCAGGGGGGCACCCCCCAGACGACATACATTTCACAGGGGGGTCAAACGTATCAGGTGATTAACCCGGGGGCAGCTGTGTCGGCAGAGTCCTCACAAAAAGTGAGCGTCATTATGCAACCCCCAGTGGGGACCACATATTTTGACCTCGGCTGACCTCCAGGGGGGCATACAGTACATCAGGCAGTTGGACGGCCCCCCTGATCGGGAAAAGTCCCCCGGGGGAAGTGGGCAAGGTGACAAAACTCGCGACGAATTCGAGAAAATGAGACAAAGTGAACGGGAAAAGCTGGGTCTTGGTGAGGGGGACAAAAATTCAACGTCTTGGACCCCCGCTGTTAGGGACCCACGGAGAGAGAAATTTCTGGCCCCTCAGCATGAGGGGGTCACCGAAACCCACGGGGGCCGGGGGGAGAGTATTCAGAGGCAGTCCCCCGAGGATCGAATGTCTGAAAAATTGAAGTTCTATCTTGCCAAGGAGAAAGAGAGGGTCAAGGGCGCACCTTCAAAATCGCCACTGGCAACAAAGACAGGTGAAACAGGCTCCGCTAATCGTGGGAGCTCACCCCAAACGAGCAGCTTGGAATCGGCGCCCGGTGATCGCATTCCGTATGCATCACTACGGCAACGAGGGAGACGGTCATCTTTGTCGGAATCATCTTCTCGCAGTCGGAAGAAGTTGCCGTCCGTTTCTCAGCAACAAGGATCGAAACTGTCACGTCTCGTCGTGAGTCCCACTCTGTTTCGCAGCTCCTCCAGCCCCCCGGACCCCTCGGGGCAAATTCCCCCCGAACCCCTCAGCCCAACAAAAACAACAACCGGAACAACAAAAACGACAACAATGCCAAAAACAGCAGCAACAACTAATACCCCTAGAACAATTAAAAAGGCAATTGGTGGAGCGAAAACAAAAGCGAAACTACAACCAAAGCCTCTATTTTCACCTGATAATCTCACCGAAGATGATCCTGTGTCGTCCTTAGTGAGCTCCTCTGCTAGCCCCTCTCTGATTGGTCAGTCTGCCCTCCAAACCACACCCACCAGCTTTGACCCTGAATCTGAAAGCGTTGGTCTGGAACAGGGACAAGGCGAGGAAGTCCAGTGTCTGAATTCAAACTCCAATAACAATGGAAAGTCAGGCACCAGCGATCAGGAACCAAACGATGTCGCTTGTGAATCTCATTCCGAGACCGCTGCCGGGAATGTCGATGGAATGGAATTGGGACAGACCACCAGGAATGTTGGAATGGAATCGGGACAGGGCACCCACCACGAGTGTGGAATGGAACAGGATTCGTTGCTGGGTAAACGCAGTACTGAGGAAGATGTTGTAACTCCACCGAGGAAGAGGGGTCGGCCAGCCGGTAGGGGGCGTGGCAGAGGGAGGGGGAAGGGAAAAACACAGTCGGGGTCACCTAGGGTGGAAGAGAACCGACCAATCAGATCGTGTCCTGACCAACAACACAGTCCTGAAGAGGGTTCATCTCAGGCACAAGATGAAAGTGGAAAAGAGCCAACTCCGCCAAGAAAAAGGGGTCGTCCTAAGAAATCGACCAATCAAACAACAAGCTCAGGACAAGGGAGCATCGTTGAAAGTGAAACTAAAGATCAGGACACCCCAGAAACTCCATCCACCCCCAGGACACGAGGGATGAGAAGACGCGAGGCTGATCCGGTTCAGGACACTCCGACAACCTCGTCCCAACAGAGCGAAACTGAAACTGAAACTGAAGTCGCTACAACTCCGAGGAGACAGCGAGGTCGCCCACGTGGAACACCTGGATCGGGCAAATCTCGCAGTTTCCCCTGCAATCACTGCGGCCAAGCTTTCACGACGAAATACCTCCTTCAAGTCCACACCGACAACGAACATCCGCCCGACCTCGGGGTATGTAATCATTACATCACTATGACATCATCTGTATTACATCATAATTACGTAATCCCTTCCACAGCCTGAGGCGACGGTGGAGAATTACCTACCTCTATGGAAGAAGGTGCTGCGAAGAGTGAAGCATGTTCGTTGTCATGTGTGCAAGGAGTACAGGGCGACCAGTATCCCGAGTATGAAGTACCACTTTGCTCGTTGTGGGAAGGTAGGCGGGGCTTGGAGCCAGCTGCATTTCCTTAAGCATGTCTTATTTCTCTCTCTCTCACACACACACCCTCTCTCCCTCTCCTCCCTCCACTCTATATTATGTGTAACAAAAGTCTTTCATTTTCATATGCATTTCCTCCGTACTATTAAGTATACAGTACATACACAGTGAATGGAAGTGGTAGCATTGACAAAACTAAATTCCACAAACTTAAAGTATTCTGGAATCATAAAATTTATACATGCCCATTAAAATTTTATGCTTCGTTGTATTAAATTTTTGTCTCCCACTCAGACGCAGGAGCAGCTGCTGATATCGTGTGAGATATGCGGGAAAACGTACACTTCAAAACCGGGTCTCGCCTACCACATGAGAGCTCAACACAGCCACACTTTAAACAAATCCAGAGAGGTGCATATACGTACACCTACCAGTGGCGGATCCAGGGGGTTCCTTGGGTTCCGCGGAACCCCCCTTTTTGTCGTTTTGCACGCATGCGTTGCTGACCTCGTGCGAGCACACGAGCGCAGTCGAAAACGTTCTGGACAGCGGAACCCCCTCTTTCAAAATCCTAGATCCACCACTGCCTACAATTATTCTACATCTCAACCTTACGTAATCAATACGTAATCCAATGACAGTGGCCAGTCATTTACATTTTGTGGCCAACAATTTGCTTGCTTAGGGATCCAGTTTTGTATCAAAATCGAGACGTATGTATAATTATGCTAAGTTTTTACCAATTCACAACATTTTTTTCAGATGTCGGAGTAACATGTCTCTCTTTTTCTCTCTCTTCCAGTCTTCACCGGCCGTTCTGTCTACTTCAACTGCTCCTCCTTCCTCCTCCATCTCTCCCAACATCTCCATCGTCACTGTCGGAAGAGCCGCGGCCAGAAAAGCTCGCGATCGCCTACACACCCTCATCACACAACTTAGACCCCCCGAGGAAGACACCACGGTCACCATGGAAACGGAGTCGCAGGGTGAGGTTGCCGACGGCGACCTGTCGTCATCGGCAACGCCCACCCCATCGGGAGAGATTAAGATGTGGAAACCGACCAAGACGAACTGGGCGGACTCGGCCGTCACGCCCCAGCAGATGAAAGAGCTAAGGAAGAAGTTCCGCGCGTCAGAAGATCCCATGACTTGCCCAATGAAGGTCTGTCTAGTTTTCAGCCGCTTCGTTTTTCTCAAAAACAGTAGACACACACACTATGTCAATAAATTACTACACATTAAAATTGCCCAAACATCTGTAAATGTTTTAGTGTCTTTCGTACTTTTTTATACTTGGCGTCAGTTTCAACTGCTCGTGGTAATTTAGATACATATGTGTGTATATACACTCACAGCTGGTATATTATATATGCACAGCTAAAGAGTTCTAAATGAATACCCAATGTTTTTGATCTCTCCTCTTCTTCCTTCTCAGGGCTGTGTAAAGAGCTTCACGACGTTCCCCGGACTGCGGTACCACCTTCTCCACCACAACTCCTCCTCCAAACACCTCCCCGTGACCTGCCCAAAGTGCGGCAAGAGATTACTCGGAGAGAAGAAGCTTCAGATACACATTTACAAGAAACATCAAGATTCATCAAAATCGGCCATCCTTGAGGTAACACAACAATATTGTGTGTCTAATGTAATTGTATTTATTAATCGCCCATCCTTGAGGTAATATTATTGTGGTTCTATAATTGTACGTGTATACCAAATTTTGTGTACTGCAACAATACTAGAAATCTACTTTCTATAACTGCCGTAGTCTTATTGTTTTCCTGTACATCATGCTTGATTATGTATGATTTTCACAAGAAAAGCATGTGACTTTAGGAAAAAATGTAAGTTTGAAAACCTGCTGAACCTGTTTCCAGAACCCGTCAGACGAGGAGTACAATCCGGAGGGAGGGAGGAAGAGGAGGAGAGGGGGTGATGGGAGCAGCGATTCCTCTCCGACGACGAAGATGATGACGGAAGTGAAATTGAAACCCCGAGCGAAGAAGATGGGAATGTAGTGGGCGGAGATTCGGCCCAACGATCATCCTCCAGAACTTCGAAAGTCGGCAGCTCAATCCTGATTGGTCCGTCCTACTCAAACATCCCCATACGTTACCATAGCAAAGTCAGTTACCAGAGCTACGTGGGTGACATACTGCAGAGGCTGAGAGGGGGTGGGGCAAGGGGTGTGGTCTTCCCCGACTGGATGCCGTGTTCTTCAGACTGGGCAGAGATACCTCAGAGGTTTGTGTTATTGCAGGGGTCCATTTTTGAGGGATCGTGATCGCAGGGGTCTATTTTGGGGGGGTTGTGATTGCAGGGGTCCAATTTTGAGGGGTCATGATTGCAGGGGTTCTATCATAATTGTATGGGTCTACTGTAAATGAGGGTTCTGAAATTCGACCCCCCACAGTGAGTTGTCGGACTATTTCCCCACCTGCCCCCCTGTCCCCTTCTCCCTTCACAACTCCACCCCATCACCTCACCCCCTCACAACCCACACCCTCTCGCGGAACTCTGCCCCCTTCGTCTCCGACGATTATGGGGCGATATTCTCAGTTGGGGGACCTGTCTGGGCCATGGATTGGGCCCCCGTCTCCACGGCAACAGCCAATCAGATTCTTGCTGTCGCTCCGTACAGAAATAGATACGACGTAAGTAGAACGGATGTAGCAATCTTTTGTTTTATGAATATCTTTATAGTTCTTTCAAATGGAGACAGCTTTCACGATGAAGGGAATATACAAATATGGGATGTTGGTCCGATCTCCATGGTGACCGAAACTCCGCCCACTCCTGTTCTGTCGTTGACGGTGGCCCACGAGTTTGGCGTGGTTCGCGAGGTGAAGTGGTGCCCCTCTGGTTGCCACGACGACGACGACGACGAAGGGGAGGAGAAATGGTTGAGGGTGGGTCTACTTGCTGTTGCCAGTAGCGATGGATTTGCAAGAATAATCAGGTAAGTTTTTTCGTCAAAATTTCCAACTATTTCCACCCATGTGTTGTCTTGCCAATGTTAATTTTTTGATAGTCATTTGCTTTGTTTCATTGATCCACACGACATATTTCATGATACCTATACAGTAATATATATCTCTGTCTTCAAACCACTTTTACTTTCCGACCTTTCTGTTGTTCATACGTAGCATCCCCAGAATCAAGAGAAGAGGAGACCCCAAGGCTGGTAGTAGCTCCTTCACTGCTACGCCGAAAACAGTCTCTGCTGTCCTGGTTCCGTACGGAATCGGGGCACCAAACACCACGCCCACATTCCAGTGTCTCTGTCTCGACTGGTTGCCTAGCAACAAGCACTCCAAGATCGCAGCCGGATTCTCCAACGGTGTGTCAAAAAAATGTCGGAGTATCAAAACTTGAGGAATTTTTCCTTCGTGATACAGGTATGGTATGTATCTGGGATATGGGGTGTGGGTTCCAAATGGAGCCCACCCCAGATGGGCGTGGTCAGATTGTCCACCCAGTGGTAGACATCTCGGCCCAGCATGGTCTCTGTTCCAGTCTGGCCTGGTGTCCTCTGGATCCAAACTACCTCTGCACCGGTCTGACCTGTATTCTATGACCTGTATATATAATTATGCATACATATGTGCGTGCATTAAATTGCACGTAACAACTGTTCTTGGGGAGAGATAAGGTGCCCCTCATTTCAGTGGTGCTCCACTGTACATGTGTATGTCTTGTAGTAAGTCGACTGTTTGCACGAATTCCTGTTCTCTCTCTTACAAACAGGTGGGAAGGATAGAGCGGTGAACGTGTGGGACATCAGACAACCAGTTGCACCAGTTGAAACTCACGTGGAAAGAGGAGGTTAGCATTTCGACGTTTTTTTCTAGAACATTTTTCAAATCGGCTTTTTCACCAGGCCCCACATGCATACTTATACACCTATATGTACGTGAAAATGTTTTTTGGGAAGGGATGGAGTATTTAAGACAAGCAATATATTCTGGAAGTTAGATTTACGTTTGCAAAGTTATCTCCCACGAAAGTTACCAACTTTTTCCCAGCGCCGGTAAACAAATTCTCTCTCCATGCAGCGTTCTTCCTGCGAGAGCTGATCTGGCCTCTGCTGTGGCCGGCAGTGTTCACAGTGGCTGGAATCTCCGGCACGGTTCAGATCATCTCTTATTCTCACCAGAGCCCGGGGAACAGACCCACCCGAGTCATGTCTGAGAACTACGCACCGGTCTCCGTGAGTTGTTTAGCTCTCTCTCTTCTCTCTCTCTCTCTCTCCCCTCTCTCTCTCAGCTTTGATCCGTCTTCTTTCTCTCTCTCTCAGAGTGTAAGCTACTGTGTGTGGAGCGACCGACTGGTAACTGCGACGTTTGCTGGCGAGGTAACCGTAGCAACCATCCCGACAACCTTCTATCGCCGGCACATCCACAAACTAGAGTTACCCCGGATACAGAAGGTGGGCATTAATTGGAAACCCATCTGCCAAAGTTCGGGTCCATTTTGAGTTTACATACTGCTAATTGCTATATATAGCTGCACAACACTCACCATGCTAAAAGTCTACACCGTCCACGGAAACACTTCGAGTTTTTCGTCCTCGTCGAAAGTTTAGAGAAGTTTATAAACCGGTTATAGTGTAATACTTTAGACATCAATTTCTGCTTATTTAAGAAGATGGCGACGGTGTCCAAAGGGTTAAGGTGTTTTTGTGGTTATTCTACAGGTTGTACTGGACACAAAGGTGGTGAGAGATTCTACCAGAGGTGGGACTGACGGGAGTCAGCTGCCTCAGAGGGAGGAGGGAGAGAGCCAGGGATCAAGGAGAGAGATAAGAAGAGGAGAGGAGGAGGGAGAGGAATTGGTCTACGTTCACAACCCAAAGAAGACAGTCGGACAGTATTCCATGCAGCAACCACTGCTGCCCTCTGTAAATCTGGTGAGTGTCTCTGCAGTTGAATCCAGACACCAATGGGACAGAGGAAAGTGTCCATATTAGTGAGGTGTCCTTGTTTCAGGGGTTGAATTGCATGCAAGAGCTGTTCTTGGGGAAAGAAAAGGTGTCCTTATTAGAGAGGTACGTCTTTATTTCAGAAGTGTCCTCTTAGGGGTTCCACTAAACCTTATTCATGTTGCTAGGGAGTCGTTTCTAATTAGAGCCCGTCACCCCACAGGTACGGTGGAATGGGAACGAGACGTGTCACGAGTGGCTGGCACTTGGAACCAACTCGGGACTGGTCCACATCCTTCGAGTCCCGAAACCGGCAGAGAAGCCAGATCTCTACACTCACAGACGATCCAGGAAATATAAACCAGTTTAAACGAGTTTGACTTGCAAATCTGTATCATAATAGTCACCACTAAACTTGTCTGTCAAATAATTTTATCTGCAACACATTTTGAACTGAAAACCAATCAAACTTTCTGGCAATGTACACACAAACAAACGATAAACAAAACAACATACAACTCATCAAGGATCCTGCAATGCTGCAATGCTGTGACTATGAAGTGGCCACGCCCCTTGATTGTAAAAGGGGCGTGGTCGTTAACGAGACTGATTGATGGTTAATTATGGGTTCCCCCGTCCGAAACCCCATGCCTCCACGCCTGTACAGAGAAAGTCTTCCGTGGTTGCTAGGGGACGGTTGCCGTAGGTTTCGCAGTTGAAACTGCTGCCATGGAGAAAATCCTCGTCCAACCATAGACCAAAGTGACCACTGGGGGGGAAGTAAATCAATAATGTTTAGCGGGGAAATAAAACTCATGAGCCTCTGCATTATGTCATTCACTCAATTAAAACAGGGGTCACTCAATTAGATACTGAAAGTGACATACTAGACTCACTCTCCTACCAATGGCGATACTGTCCTTGATGAAGTAGTTACTTATTAACACAGGGGCCACCCGATTAGATACTGAAAGTGAAATTAAACAAGTAGCTATAAAAACTCACTCTCCGCTGCCGATGACGATACTGTCAGTGTTGCCCTTGATGAAGTAACTGTTGAGTCCCGTCCACGGAAACACTTCGAGTTTGTCGTCCTCGTCGAAGGTAAAGAGACAAGACTCGCCTGTCCCGTAGAACTTGGCACTCAGTCGCAGGTAGCTGGACGCCATGGCTCCAAACACCTTCAGTTTCAATTTGAGCAGTGTGCGTATAAAGTAGAAACTCTATTTGTTGCACGATACGTTAAGTCGGGCATACAATGCTTAAAAAAAAACCTGAACACATTTTTGAAATAATTTATTATCGCTTGAATGCTACTACGTATGCCAAGGTACATACATAAAATGATTTTCAGTTTTAATAATACATTCATGAGTTCAGGTGCACTTTAAATAGAAGTCGCGCACACATCCGCATATCCGTCCGTGCGTGTTTTGCGTGCTCCACAGCATTAGTTTGACAAATTGTGTCTTACAAACCTTGTTACAATCGTCCCTGACGACCAGTAGCACTGGGGTGTCGCCAAAGGCCAGCATTTTCCTGTACATCGTCCTCAGACTAATTCCGTGGCAGAAGGTCGAGTAGACCAGCTGCATGTCGTGGCCGATGGCTTGCGACGGAAGATGGATAAGTAGCTAAACAGAGCAAAAAGAAGAGGGTTGAAATAAACGTCTGAAAATTGCAGCTTGAGAGAAAGTTGTCCAAAAGCAATTTTTGTTAACAAAAGTATGTAAAGTGTGCAAAAGTAAGCAATTTCTAATTTTTTGTCACACCCACTTGTTGTTGAAATGCGCATAAAGATTAGGTTAAAACGAACGTTTGATTAAGACAAACCACTCCCCCTCTCCCCTCTTCCCTTTGCCGACCTTTCTGAGGTGGTTATTTGTCAACAGCAAGCTATCGTCTGACATGGCGGGCAGGGGAAGATTTTCTTCCACCTCCATCAGAGATATCACGTGACGATACTTGTGGAGGTCAGAGAGAGAGTAAACCTCCCAGGAATCAGGCTTGAAGTGATCTTCGCAAAACGACAGCTCCTGATTTTGAAATTGAAAGTGCATTTATACACCGGAATATAACGACACTCGGAATAAAGGGGCACCTCTCTGTAAACCTATTAACTCACATCTCCTTCAGAGCGAGGTCCATGAATGACGTCAAAATGGCTGTCGGTCCACCTCTGTTTGTCGCTAGGCGACCCCAGATGGGCGGAGCCTTGCGGATGATGGAGTGACAAGAACGAAACCACTTTCTCCAGACTGGGAGAGGGAGGGAGGGGTTAAAATAATAGTGGAACCCCCCTAATTCAGACACTATTTGGGCAGTAGAAAGTCTCCATATTAGTGAGGTGTCCTTATTTCAGGGGTTAAATTGCATGCAAGAACTGTTCTTGGGGAAAGAAAAAGCATCCTTATTACAGAGGTTTAGGGAGAAGGGTTCCACTGGACAAGCACATCTAACGCACCACGGGTTTCACGGACGAGCTGCCTAGAATGAACAAAGTATTCAAAATGAAAGTGAAACGTCTGGACTCACTTTATCTCGGGAACAACGAAACAGAAAAAGGTCTTGACACGCTGGGCGGGGGGCGAGCCTGTCTTCCCTCCTCCCGTCTCACCAGGAATGTCTATTCCCCCCATCGAGTTCACCGGAGTGTACGTGTATCTATGGAAACAAAACACACGGGGGTCAAAGGTCGACGGTGATGCAGCAGGATTGTATGTACTGGAGGACCAGTTTCAGGATGGGTCGTCCAGTAGAGAATTACCTTTGTCCCGAATTGCTGACAACTCGGAAGTGGAGGAAATATGCCGTGTCGCCTAGAAATGCGTCTAGTGACATCACGCTGCACTGGGACAAGGCTGGTGGGCGTGGTCTGAAGGGGGTTTCCCCCGTGAGCATCGCCATTAGGTCGTCGGGCGATGACGCCATTTCCTGGCCAATCTCGTTATTCTGGTTATTACTATTAATGGTGACATCATCGTCTTCTTGTCGGGAGAGAGCCTGGGATTGAGAATCAGTCGATGTCTTCCTCTCAACTTCTTCCGTCGCCATTTTTCTCTCCCCTTCTTCTTCTCCCTCACCCTCCCCTCCCTCCCTCTCGTCCTCCATCTTCTCTCTCTCATGCACCTCTGTCGGTGGACCCGAAACATCAGAGAGCGAAATTGATGTTGCGATAGTCCCCGAGTCACGTTCCGATTCTGCATCGGTATCAGACATGGTCGGTGCCGGGCTCCGTTCCATTCCAGTGTTTGCCACACCCTCTTCTCTCGATTCGGTGCTTTTTCCTTCATTCCCTCCGTCTGTTTCTTTACCCTCAACCACCTCTTGTCGATTTTCAGGGGGCGTGGCTTGTTGTAACGGCTCCATGACAACGGCATCGTCGATTTTCTGAGTTCTTATGCTGGACTGTCGCCGTGGCGATGAGAATGGTTGCCTGGAAACAACAGAGACACTGTTTTACATATCATCTCATTGCTATCTCGTTTCCTCTCCCTATTCCTACACTCGCTGTCCATTCACTCCCAGTCACTGCTACTCAGACACCATCGCCAAACTTCAGTTGTGACATACTGCATTGCTCTTTATGATGGATGACACAGCACCCTTCAACTAGCTAGGACTCTCCTCTCTCTCTCTCCCTCTCACCTTTTCGGCGCCCCCTCTCTCTCCCTCTCACCTTCTCGGCAGGGCCACATCTCTGGTGATACTGGCATGGGTGATGTCATTCAGAGGAATCAGAAGTTCGTACTGCTCCACCCCATGTTCCTGGACGAGCGGGTCTGACTGGTTCGGTCTGAACATCAGAGACGTCGTGCTCATGGTCAATACCCCATGCACACACCCCTGGAGGGAAGAGATCACATGTAGAAAATACCATGTGATGCCAAGAGAAAAAAAGATGTGGAGCTCTGGACAGCTGTTTCGGGCTTGTTGGCCCTCATCAGCAGAGCATACCGCAACTTCTCTCTCTGACATGTACATTCCAGTATATTGGGTAGACGACCAAATCAACACTTACAGTCATCCAATTTTTAGTGGCTACAGTAGAGTAGAAAATTTTTGCCACTAAAAATTTTAAGGATGACTGTAAAAATATTGATTTGGGTGTGGAACCCTCTCTCTAAGGACACCCATGAAATGAGGACACCTCTCTAAGGACACCCCGAAATGAGGACACCCCTGAAATGAGGACACCTCACTAATATGGACACTTTCTTCTGAGAGGTTCCACTGTACACATGTTGTTCACAGACTCACTTGGTCGTCACTGATGTATTTGGAAGTGATGGAGATGTACGTTTCCGTTGGTTCCTGGTCCACCTCGTGCCCCATCGTTGCCGACGACGACACCGTCCTCTTTCTCCCTCGTTTTACCTGCAATACAGGTGTGACATTTTGGGTCTCGTGAAGATTAGGCTATAATATATTGAATTTGGCACTTGTACTTTTCCCCTGCACCAATAAGCTTTGAGGCAATAAACTACAGTGGAACCCCTCTCTCTAAGGACACCCTGAAACGAGGACACCTCTCTAATAAGGACACCTCTTCTTTCATCAAGGGCAGTTCTTGTACGCAATTTAACTTCAATTTTTAACCTCTAAAATAGCTTTGGGGTAGAGTTCTTGACTTCTGGTTAATTCAAGTTTCTTCTTGCTGGCTTTCATCTGATTGGTGGGCAGAGACTTGTCTTTGGGCGGGACATCCCTCTCGGGGGTGGGGCTGCTGTAATTAAGGAAGGGCGGGGCCGACTTGCGGGGAATTACTCGACTGATGGCAAGTGCGCTGATCGGCGAATCGACTTCTTCTTCTCCATCTGGTACATACACCACCTGGGGAACACAATAAGCGCTCCCATCATCTCTTCCTTCCTCTCTCCTCCTCCCACCATCTCTCATCTCCCCTCCTCCAACTCTCCCTCCTCTCTCTCTCTCTCTCTCTTTATTCCTACTATATATTACAGTGCAACAGCATTCCTAAACTTAAGGCAGGGACACATTAAACATATGTATAGTTAATATGACTCTAATGATTTTGTCTTTCGCTGGGCACCTAACATGGCACCATATTTTGACAGCATCTACATACATACAAATGGTATACTTATTATACGGACCTTATCATAGCCAAGAATCTGGACGTTACGACTGGGAATCCCAGACAGAGAGACTGTCTCCTCCAGGGACCAGTCATCACTGTCCGACGACCCACACAACGTCCCCCGCTTCGAAAACGAGACAGAGATCTCCATCTCTCTCCTCTCTCTCTCTCTCTCGCTCTCCGAAAACCAGCGACAAAGACAGACGTAAAAAGCTAGCACTGTTTTTCACTCTTAAGCCAGTGGCAAAAAGATGTAAAGCAACTAGTCTAGTGATCTAAACAACTTAATTTTTTCTTCTCTTTTCTCTAACAACAAAGACACATAAACCAGCTAAATACTGTTGACTAAAAACAGGAAAAACTTCATCTTTACTTGCCCCCTCTCTTCTACACCAACGGCAAAGACAGTGATAAGACAGCAAGGTGGTTCAGCACTCTATTCAACTAAAAGACTCGACTATCGTCCCATTCAGGTCTTTATAGGCAGACAGAGAGTCTGGAGGCACGGGACTGCATTAGCAATTCTGTTCGACATAGTGAACGTGAACAAGGTGAGATCTTAGAACACTGAGTGGTTTGAGCCACTTTGAAGAAGGCGGTGGTACTGAGAATGGAAACGTGCGTGAACGAGAACGTGCGAATGGGCTAGCCGGTTGATTATGCGGCGAGCTTTTGATGTGTGTATGGTTTGTGGGGTGCTGCATAAGTTACACCAATTCCACACGTGTACTTGCTACAAATAGCTACATTCATTCTAAAACCCTTTGGACACCATGGGTATCTTCTGGAATTTTGTTTAAAGTATAAGCGCCTAGTATTATAACCCCATATAAATCCTTATGGACTTATAGAGGCTCTGGCCACATTTGTTATGCAAGTGCCAACTTTCCTTTCTTCCCCTCCCTCCCCTTCTTCCACTCCCTCCCCTTCTTCCCCTCCCTCCCCTTCTTCCCCCCTCCCCTTCTTCCACTCCGTCACTCCTTCTCTTACATCTCCGGTAAACATTGAAAACCCAGCCAGTGTCCTCTTGTTGAATCTTGCAAGTTGGGCCGGCGTCGTATCAAACTTCAGCGAAATCGAGTTGAGTGTGTCTCCATCCATGACAACGTACGGTATGCCGTGAGCCGGGCTCAGCTGCGCGAGCTGAGATTTTGGATATCAGAAACGGCTGCTCTTCTGTCGAGCTTTCTTTAGCTAGAGCGGAGAGAAAAAGAGGGAGAGAAGGAAATATAGAAAAGGGTGATGTAATGTTGCTGTCTTGCTGGGCCCTATTGGTTCATTCTATATTTAGTAACATTTCTAAACTTAGCCCTTATATACTGACACTTTAATGTTAGTGCGTAATAATCGTTGCTATTGCTTTCCTAATACAGAGTCCTTTATCAGCGGTTGCACTGTATGCATTAAAAGTGAAACGTACAAATCTCAAATGTATGGGCATAATGCGGGACGACCTGTGTCATCCCTATGTACTAAGTACGGGATGTTATATATACCGGCTTCTTTCTTGGTTGAGTGCGATACGGAGAGGGAACAGGTCTGCCAGTGAGGGAACTGTTTCCGGAGAATGTCAGGAGTGTTGTCCCACGCCAGAGGGTTGTAGCCTTCTCCTTGAGTCAGGACCACGTTGGACGAGAGGGGCACCTCCATACTGGCACTTAGTAGGGCCTTTCGCTGGCTGGAGGGAGAGGGAAGAGGAGGGAGAGGGGGAGGGAGGGGGAAAAAGAAAGTGTCTGCTAAAAAGGGGGAGAGAAAAAGGCGAGTGCAGGTGGGAAGGAGGGTCAAAGTACAAGCATGTAGCCGCGGTCAGTGAAAGGTAAACGAAAATAATTCACCCAAACCCCACATTACTTCAAGAAGCCTTCACCTAATTAGTAAAAGCTAGTATATATATATACACGATATGTACATATGTATAATTACATCCTTCCCTTACTAACAGGGGCAGACCACAAGTCCTTTATAGAGACGCAACTACTGCACATTATTTTCTCCAAAGGCACTCTATAGCCTCCATTCCCATGCCACATTAGCCTCGGGGTCAAAACCATACGTGGCATAGAGACAACAGCACATTGTGGAGACCTCCCTTGTGGAGACCTCCCTTGTGGAGACCTCCCTTGGGGAGTTGAAAAAACACACAAAGAAGACAAGAAGGGAAAGGAGGGAGAGGGGGGGGGTTAGAAGAGGGGAGGGGGGGAGGGGTAAAAAAGGGGAACGCGGGGAAGGAGGGAGAGAGGGGGCGGACGCTTTGCTTGAATCAACCGTCCTCTCTTGGCCAACGTTTGGAGTACATGTATATAGTGCGTTTTATTTGTCACACAAGGCTCTAGCGTCCCAGCTTGTGGAGTTTAGCATGTTCGTCTACTTATCCTTGTCTCCTCACCGTGGTTGTGTGCCTGCAGGCTCTCGGCTATGGCTATCCGATCCGTTGCTTATAGCCGTACTGAATTAAAGGATGAAATAATGGATTGAGGAGGGGGAAAGAGTGGGGGAAAGGTCCGAGGACCATTGGGGCGGGAGGGTAAGGGGGCTCGATGGGAGCGGGAATACGAAAGTCAGAGGAAACAGGGTTGTCCGTTGGTTAGCATGGGTGCATCAACGCCAAACGAAGTTATCTGTTCTAGGCGGCTTTTACTGTCTATTACACACCAAGCTGCCTCTGATTTTACTCTCGATCCCGCGATTTGCGCGTTGGATTTGTATTGCCACGCTCCCCTTTTTTTCGCAGGCATTGCGGGCATCAATTCCGCCGCTGCGCTGATCAGCCAGTTCCTGAACATGGACCAGAAGAACACTCGTCTAGCATGGCCGGCGCAAATCGGATACGCCGACCTGAACAAACTGGCCAAGACGATGACGCACGACGGCCCCGCCAGCGGCTCAATATCTCCTGATCAATGGCGGCCTTACATGGCTATGAGACCTGACCTACATCGCCATCGGAAAACCTCTATAACGGCACATCCGGTTCACAGGGAACTGACAGTGGCTGCCACTCCACAGCCAGCACGAGCCAGACAAAACACGGGGACCCAGGACAGCGCCTTCCCCGACCATACGGAGGCTCGCGGTAAATCGCTCGGTTTCGGGGAAACACGTTCAGCTCGACAGTGGAACAGCTTGCTGAAGGTCCGTTTCGGCGACCGTAACACGTGATGCGCAGTTCTACAGGCATCCGCTGGGTCAAAACCGGAAGCCGACTGGACGGTCATAGGCGTGCCACCCCCTTGTCGGGACAAATGGTCATCGGTACAGTACAAAACCGAGGGTCCATGCCCACGGCCAGAACTGCTCTGGAGAACGCCAGGTAGAACTGCTACCTGGTGACGTGCGTTCGGAATGGCCTGGGGAATGGCGGGCAATGCCGTCGCAAGACGCCTGCCATCGGCGTGTAGTAAAATTCTGAAATGTTCGCCTTCTGCCCACAGCTTCGACCGTATGGGGATGGACGTCGTTCTATGATGGCGCAACACAAATACCGGCACTGCTGGTGGGATGCCGGCGTTGCCACACTTCTTCGGGATATCGGTCGGGGAAATCGTCATTTACGTCGTGGCTGCCTCATAGGTCGGTGATTCTTTGCGAGCCTGCCCAGTGATTCCGGGCACTCAGCAGGTAATGGTCAATTCAGGGGCGGAATATGACGCTGAACTGCTGCTGGCAGTTGGTGCCAAAGGATGAGTGTGCCATCGGCATCGCGCTGGCGCTGAGCAGGACCGGAGCAACTGCCGGTGGTGAAGCTATGTGCGTAGTGTTCATCGACCCCACGGGTTCCAGGGTCGTGACGCACATTATCACGCTGATGTTTATGCGCAGGTGCTCGGTCCCGCGGACCCTTCCGAGACATCAAACTCCACAACTCGATCGTCCAGGCCGCATCATCATAACGATGTTAAGATCTGCTTATATCGGCCGAGAAAATCCGGGGCGGACATCCAGGCCTGCACCCAGGGCAGGCGGAAAGGCAGGCGCGGGCGTTAGGCCTGCCCGGCTGGCAGACGACGATGCCATCTCCCTGCGCAGCCATCCGCAAAAACCTGATTCGGACACTCGTGGGGCGTCCATTCGCTTGTAAAAGGACCACCACCCCAGGTTCTACATCATTTGTATATGGACGTGTTGGAGATCAGCGGGCTTCATCAAGGGCAACACCGAGACCTCTCCAGCGCAAAGGAGGTGTTAAATATTCCTGGCCCTGGTGTACTGGTATCACCACACCACAGTCATAGTCAGCGCAAGGTCCCAGAGAAAAACTGGGAGTCGCCAGCGGTAGAGGGCAGGGCGGGAAAGCGATTGGAGTGGAATATCGAGGAACAGGAACAAGGAGACGCGCGAGCGAACCCATATCATGGCCGCGACGTGCAAAGGGTTAGGCAGTTCCATGTTCTGCCCACTTTTTCTCTTTTGTGCACTCCCCCCGGTTG